CCAGGGTGCAGTAGGAATACCCCCCCATACCAAGCCCTCTTAACTGGGCTGAGCTTCCCTAGGCCGTTTTACTTAGAGCTGGTCCCCAAAGTGTCCCAAGGAAGGAAAGGCTGCTGGATGTCCCCTGTAACAAGTCTAGGCCATCCCAGGCTGCAGGCCATACACAGGCTTCTGAATTACCTCTAGCTTATACCTGGCTGGTTGGTTCCTGAGAGGGCCTGCCCCCCCTTTCCCTCCCTACTTCTCCCCTCCCCCAAAGCCTTTAATTCTCTCCAACAAAGCAAAACTCTCGAGAATCTTTCAGCGGGGTTTGTAAAGACACTAAGAACCTTTCCCAGACCTCCTCCTCCTCCCCTGGCTGGTGCCCCTTGGCCCCTTCACCCTAACATTATTTAACCCTAGAGATACTCAGAGCCTAGCTTTGACATCTCCCAACAACACACTTAACAGAAAAATGGGAAGAAAGCAGGGACTCCACCTAAGACACAATACTCCCAATCCCTAGCTCCCCTCTCCAACTACAGATTCCCAAGGAGGTGAAGATTGGTGGGGAGCAGGCAGGCCAGAGACCTTTAGGGGATCAAGCTCTGAGATGACTCATGAAGACCTGAACAGAACCTAGGTTCTCACCTTGACAGCACCTCCAGCAGACTCTGCTTGTCCCCATAATAAACACATCATGAATCATTCATCTTTAATAGATTATGCAAATCAGGAGGACATAAAATCAACAAAGATCAATAACTGTAGCCGTTTAATTGCCAGCAAAAACATTTTAAGAATGAGCGTAATCTGCAGCCCTTTCTCGGGTAATGGCGCCATTAATCCAAACATTGGATCTTGGCCTAAGTGTAGAAAAATCATCCCCCTTCTCTGCCCCCTCCTCATGCTCTTCCCTCCCCCACCCCCCCACTTCTCTCTTTTTGGTAATTTCCAGTTTCGGAGCGAGTTTCCCCGTCATTACCACTGGTGAACAGCTCCGAATGTTAATGGTTCTGCTTTTGTTACTTCTCGCTTGATTGAAATGTCGCATACAGATTGAGATGTTAGTGCTAACTTGCCACCTGGGAATGTCAAGCTGGGTCTGAAATGAACTTTTCTCACACTTGGATCCAGATGGATCAGCCGGAGATGTTCCCAGGCTGAGCTGGGACTGTTCCAGGGCCATTGGGGGTGGGGGGGGTGGGGGTGGAGAAACACGGAAGGTGGAGGCACTTTCTGCATTAGCCAAGTGCTTCTCCTGCAGTGGGAGCCCCCTGCACCCAGAGCCACATCCCTGACTCGGGCAGTCCCTTGGTGGTTTGGTGGCCCAGTCAGAAAAAGGGAAGAGCCCCTGACTTCTCCTCTGCCATCTCCCTGGGGAGTTCCAATTTGGGGGTAGTTACAATAGCACCTCTCAGTCTGTGCCCAAGCCTGGAGAAAGGCAACCTGGAGTCTGCCAGCTGCTTCCAGCCTATCAGGTCAGATTGGCCTAGGGAAACTCCAAGGTCAGGCTCCTAAGCACTTGATTGAACATTTGTTCTGGGAGAAGCCACATTCTATCCTAGGCTACTCAGTCACCTCCTCAACACTTGGCTTTCAAGAGTCAGGTTCTTTGAGCCACCCCTGGACCTAGTGATTTTTGACAGGCTCTAGCCACCAAACCTTCAGCTGTGTGACTGCCTCTGTGCCCAGCAGAAGGGCAGCAAAATAGTGGTCCTAATCACCATCTGATGGAAGACAAGGAAAAGCTGCTATTCAGGCTCCCTAGAGAGAGGGCTAAGGCTAGACCTAGCCCTGCCCCTTATGCTGTGGGGCAGGCACATCCCTCCATCCCAGGATCTTAGCCATCAACAATGTCCCGCCCCCACTCTCCACTCCCTACTTCCACTATTCTTGGCCAGCATTGGGGGCCTGCTCTACTCAGCAGGGGCTCTGATGCCTGCTCCCTGCCGATGCTGCTGGCTGTGACGCAGAGTGCCTGCAGCCACTCTGCCAGGTCCCCATGCCGCCTCCATTCCTCGCTTGGCGGGTAACGCCTCAGTGTCTCCCAATCCCCACCGCGGCCGTTCTCAATCATCCTGTCTCCCAATGAACGGCACATTGGCTTTAGTGTCTCCAGAATAATTAGGTGAATTTTAATAACACCTCAATGTGTGTCTCTCACACTTGGGCACTTTCCTGGCCCGGAAACTGTTCTGCAGTGCCAGGCACCTTCTGTGGGGCAACCAGGAGCTTCTGCAGAACTGGGCCTTTCACTCAGCCACAGCCCACCCTGCTACTGCCCCCAACTCAGCCCACCCCACCATAGCTCCTACTTCTCTGGCTTGTTTCTTCTCTTTCCTCTTTGCTACTTCCACCCCTTCCCAAGAGGGCCCCCCAGGGTTCTATCCTTGGCCCTCTTCTCTCTCCACATTCTGTCCCTGGTGATTTCATCTACTCCCATGCCTTCAATTCTCACCTCTATGTAAATGACTCTTCAGTCTCTGTCTTCACCCTTCATTTCTTCCCAGAGCTCTAGTCTTCTATTTTCAACTGCCTGCTACATACCTTTACTTGGATATCCTGACCTCAGACTCAATGTGTCCAGAATTGAAGTGCTCATCTGCCTTTCGAAAATCTGCCCTTCCCCTTAGCTCAGCTATTTCTGTGGCTGGCTCTACCATCCTTCTAATCCAGGAAGGCTCAAAACTGAACTCATCTTTGACTTTCCTCTCCTCCTTCACACCTAACCATTGACCAGCTCCTGTTGATTCTATTTCCTTGATCATTTTTATCTGATCCTTCCTTTCATTTCCACTACAACTAATCTAGTCTTCTTGCTTGGATTATTGAAATAGCCTTTTGACCGGTCTTCCTGCCCTCAGGCCACGTGCTCTTCAATATGTTCAGTATATACTTCATGTCCCTGCCCAAGGACTCTTCCTAAGCAACATTATGATCATGCAATCCTTCCATGCGAAAGCTTTATTTGATTCCCTGTTGTCTACTAAATGTGGCAGGTGGGTGGCACAGTGGATAAACCTGGGCCTAGAGTCAGGAAGATCTGAATTCAAATCCAGCCTCAGATACTTACTAGCTGTGTGACCTTGGGCAAATAAGTCACTTAACTGCTGTCTGCCTCAGTTTCCTCAAGTATAAAATGGGGTAATAATAGCACCAATCTCCCAGGATTGTTGTGAGGATCAACTGAGATAATATGTGTAAAGCACTTAGCACAGTGCCCCGGCACAGAGTAGGTGCTATATAAATGCTATATAAATAAACTCCTGATCCTGATATTCCAGGCTATCTGTTATACGATTCCAACCCATATTTCCAGATTTTTCTCATCCTACTTCCCTTCCTGTACTCTGCTTTGCTCAAAGTGAACTACTCTCTGCAATGTTTTTGCTCCTCTCCATTTTTTGTTCCACCTTCTCCCACATCCACGCCATTGTCCAAGCTGTCTCCCAGGCACAGAAATGGACTTGCAGGTCTCACTTTCTGATGAAGCCCTTCCCCTCTATTTTTCATAAAGCTTTCCCTGATGGCACCCCCAGCTGAAAATGACATGTCTCTTTACAAAATGTTTCATTGCCTTTTGCCAGAATTTTTCCTTTGTACTTAAGCTCCTGTGTGTTAGTTACTTGTGTACTTGATTTTTGTCCTATTTCAGAAAATAGGTTCTATGTCTTATCTATTTTTACATCCCTGATGCCAAGCCTAGTGCCTTACACATGCCAATAATTAACAAGTGTTTGTAGCATGGGATCAGTTGCCCATAAGATATCAAAAGAACCCATCCTGCCCATGCTGATGCCTGAATTGCCTTGCCTGCAGCCTGGCCAATAGCAATATGTATGGCTCCAGAAGAGGAAGGGGTGATCATCTGACTGTCCCAATGGGCAGAAGAGGGACTGGGAGGCTGGTGGTACCTTGCCCTCCTTATGGGACTGCCTCCCTCCCCTGTCCTCTGCAGTCATGGTCATTCGTGTTCCCTTGCCCTGCCTGGGTACCACAGTGAGAAGGAGAAATAGGGCAAGGACCATAGAACTGATTCAACAAACACTTATTAAGAGCTTGGGAAGCTAGGTGTTGAAGTGGATAGAGCACTGGACCTGGAGTCAAGAAGACCTGAATTCAAATCCAACCTCAGACATTTAGCTGTGTGACCCTGGGCAATCACTTAACCTCTGTTTGCCTCAGTTTCCTCATCTGTAAAATGGAGATAATAATAGCACACCTACCTCCCAAGTTTGCTGTTAGGATCAAATGAAATAATAATTGTAAATCACTTAGCACAGTGCCGGCACACAATAAGTTCTCTCTCTCTCCATATACATATATACATACATACATACATACATATATATATACAATGTGTGTATATATATATATTATTTACAGAAAACTATGTTAGCACCTAAAACTTGTCAGAGGATGGGGTACCAAATGCCTTTGAGATCCACTCTCCCCAGGGTGGACATTCCCACCTCTACCCACATTTGCTCTACACTTAGCCCAAGCTCTGTAACTACTGTGTCTTGGGTAAAATGGTAACTGTGAAAGAGGAGCAAAGAGAGAGGTGGGTGAGCTGGAAATAAGAATAAGCAGCATTGGCTTCCAGCACCAGGCTTAGGTATAGAGTCATGGCTCTGTAGAGCTGAAAGGGACTTAGGAGACCATCCAATCCATTCTCCTTATTTTGTAGATGAAGAAACTGAAGGCTAGAGGAGAGTGACTTACCCAAGGTCACACAAATAGCAAGTACCTTAAGTTACTTCCCCCTCTTCCATCCAGTTCAGAAGCACTCAGGGGCTCCAGAACACAGAAAGGAAACAAATTTCTCTTACTCCTTTCCCTACCCTCCATCTATCTACTCATCTTGTTATAATCCCTCCCTCCCGCTTCAATGCCACTTACTGCTGAATTCCCTCTTCCATCCAGATACAGATGCTATAACAAAAATATTATGACTCATGAACCAGACGCCGTCCACCCCTCCCCGTTGCCCTCCCTCATTGAGGTGGGTGGCTTACCGGTGACCACGGGGTACGTCTGGGTTCCCGACACGTTGCTCCCCAGGTCAGGGTTTGCCGAGGCAGATAGACTTGATTTGACTTCATCAAGCCCAGGGGTCAGAGCTGGGAGGGAGTACTCATTCCCCTGGGAGGAGAGAGAAAAGCGACAGCTCTCTATTGATGCACTGAGAGAAAGAGAGAAAGAGAGAGAAAGAGAAAGAGAAAGGGACCATTCTGGTGCAGATGGGGAGGAGGAACAGGGGAGTCCTCCCAGATGGGGAAGAAGGAGGAGGCCTGGAAAGGGAAAGGTCTCAGAGGAAGATGAAGTGTTCCTACTGTGGGGGAGGAGGGAAGACTGCTTCCCAAGGGAGAGGGATGTGCAGAGACTGAGTTATTGCTGGGGGAGTGGGCGTGGGGGTGGCGGGGGCAACTTTGAGTTTCCAAGGGCTATACAAGAGCAGGAGTAGGAAGGCCTGGGTCATCCACCACCCCTCCCCAACTCAGAGGGTGAGGGGAAGGGTGTCCTTCTGGCTCCCTGGAGTGGGGAGCATCAGAGAGGAAAGAGGAAAGGTACTGGTAATGGTGGATATTGGGGGTGAGGAAGGAGGTTCCTGAGGCCTGTCTGCCTGCCTGGCAAGCTTGACTTTCTGAGTGGGTATGGGTTCCCCTTCTTTAAAAACAAACAAAGAGGGCTCAGCGGGCCCCCTTGCTCTCTGCTTGTGCACTGGGGTATGAAATTGGGGAGGGGGAGAGTCCACATGGCTAACAGAAGGGTGGGAGGGGGCCAGTCATTGACTCTGAAAGGGTGTCCTGCCCGAAACACGCGGCTAATTGCCTTTTTATTGCGGCAGCCGCCAAGCCAGACCCCAGAGCTGGGCAAAGGGGGAGCCTACACAAAGCAAGAAAAGTTGGTCTGATTAATATTACGTTAAATTAAAACTGATTTTCTGCTCTTTCGGGTCCGTTTTTTTCCCTTCCGCTTCCTGGCCCCCCCAGTGGACCCCCTCCCCTCCCTGGCTGGATGGGATTGCCTCGTCATTTCCAATTCCTTCTCGTATTGATCTTCCTGTAGAAATCAGTTTTGTAATTAGCTGCAAATTAGGCCTTCTACTGGGGGTGAAGCTGCCCCCTGATTTATCACCAGAGTAATTCGCTGTGATCGGAGAGAAATTAAAATGAACTCAATTAGGCTTCGGATTTGCTTTATGGGCCCTGCTCCGAGTTTCAGGGGGAAAAATGACTGTGCTAGTGTTTAATAGTGTAATGAAAGTAAATAAAGGTTATTCATTGTAATACAGCCGGGGACAGGGCGAGCTCATGGAGCCGGCCCAGAGCAGCCTGAGACTCCTTTGTTGGTTTATGGCTCGGGGCACCTTAAAAAGACTTTTGATTTTTGTTTTATGAAGACAAACAGCTTATGGGATAAAAGGACAGGCTGGGAGGAAGGCAAGTAGCTAGCTGGGAACTGAAGGGACCTCAGAGCAAAGCTGAGCTGTGCTGTGTAGAGTGTCTGGGCCTGTGCCAGGCTGTACTGTGTGTGGCATGTGTTCTAAATGTGCTATTCGTCTGTGTGTATGTGTGTGTATGTGGGCATGATCTATGCATTCTGTGCATTCTGCACATAGGATGCTATGTGAGTGCATTTTGCATTCTGTGTATGTAATCGCTGCTGAACACCTAGGTCATGGCACATTTGTGGGGCCCTGGCTGTTTTTTGTGCCTGTCCTGCCTCAGAAGCGTGCCCTATGCTGTTGATGGGGAAGCAGCCCCCAGTCTGGCCCTCTGATAGGATGGAACAGCGAGAAGGTTTCCTGACTTCCAGCTCAGGCTGGCCTTGGGGTCACCTTGGGAAGTCTAGGCCATGGAGCAGGTGACAGATAGCTTGGATGCTGAAGAAACTCAGGGTGAGTTATCTTTCCAAGTGCTAAAGCCCTCCCCACTGTAGAAGGGTTTAGAGGGCTGAACAGGTTTCCTGAAGGACTCCAGGGAGAGAAGAAGTCAAAGCCAGGGGTAGGAGATGTCACCTAGGGTACCATAGAATAGTGAGTTCCTTCCTGTCAGAGTGAATGCACATGCCAAACACACAAGGCCATATACCAGTACATGTCACAGGCACGTGACTAGGTATGCCCATGTGTGTCTTGTGTCTCGACTCTGGGAAGGCTGGTATGATTCAATTTAGGACTTTCACCCTTGAAGCCCTGGGTGCTAGGATGCCCCTCACCTGCTCCGATTTGATGTGCTCTGATGTCTGGAAAACATCGGGATAGGAAGGACGCTCAAAGACCCGATCTAAAGCTTCCAGCTGTTGCTGAGTGAAGGTGTCCGCTCTCAAGTGCTTCCGCAAACTGTCCACACCGCTCTGGGAGTCTCCATTCGGGACAGAGCCCTCAGACACATCTGGAGGACATACAGTACAGGGGCATCAGTGCTAGACTAAGAAGCTAGAGGGGGAAAAGTGTGGGCAAAGGGGATGCTCAAGTTTGCCCCAGGACTTGGGCCATATTGCTGCCATCCTTTGACCCTGGCCAGCTCTCAGCTTCTGTGATGGAGAGGAGCCAGGAATGACAGAACCAAGGACCATGAGGGTAGAGGCAGTACTTGAGGGAATTGTCTTTGGCCAGGTATTTGGAAAGAGTAGGATGGAAAGAGGAAGTAAAACTCGTGAAAGCTTGGGAATCAGGGAAGGATTCTGAGAACAGACCAAAGAAGCTTCCCAGCAATGAGCTCTCCAGGCCCAGGGCCCTCTTCATTCCCAGAGGCTAGGCCTTTTTCGAGGGAGAAGCCGGGTTTACAACTCAGGCCAGCAACACAAAGCCTGTGGAGAATCAAGGTCAGCTTAGAGATGAGTCTCGATTCCACCGATTGCCAGGGTTGAAAATCACCAACTCTCTGTGGCCGAATGTAACATGGTAACTGAGTAAAACAACTCCACCAGGAAGGGAGGAGGAGTTCTGAGAGCAAAGGCTTAGGGAGTTGGGGTGGGGGCCAAGGAAGGCAGGTGACCTGTGAGCAGGAGTTGCAGTGGGGAGAGGTGGAAACTAGAAACAGAGACTTCTGTTGTCAGCCATCCTCTTCTCTATGGTCAAAGCCCATCCCATGGCCTGGTGCTCCCCAGTTGCCAGACTGTGCTCTAACTTAGGCCTTTCTTCAATGGGACCTCAGGTCCCATTTTGGGAAACAGAAGAGTGCTTGGCTCTCCAGTTACCTCCCTCCCAGTCAGGGAAGCTCAAATCAGGCCTGCAAAAAAAAGAAAAACAACCCCTACTAAGGGTAGCCCTGCTTTGATTCTTCCTTTGGATTCCTTATCCTGTATTTCTCCTGTCGAGTCCCCACCCCAGCCCCAACCCTGAGGGTCTTTGACTTTGCTACACTCAGCTCCTCTGGCAGAGCCCTGGGACTAGTACTGGGGCCACAGCCACGGCCACGCCAAAAGCACAGGGGATGTTATATATATCAGTTTATAGGTGATTATATGATATGATATAATCAATATTGCATTATATACAGTAACACCATACAGTATCATTCGTGAGACCATAGAAAATATTACATATTGATTAACCTCAACCTGCAGCCATTGTGTGTGAGAGAAAGAGAGAGAGAAAGAGAAGGGGGGTGGCGAGAAGGGGGGCAGAGAGAGAAGGAGAGAGAAAGAGAGGATGGGAGTAAAAAAATAAAGAAAAAAAGGAAGGAAGGGAGGGAGGAGGAAAAAGAAAAAAGAAAGAAAGGAAGGAAGAAAGGAAAGAAGGAAGGAAGAAAAAGATTAAGAAAGGAAGGAAAGAAGAAGAGAAAAAAGAGTAGGGGAGAGACATCAAGTGAGGAGGAAAGAGAGGAGAGAAATGGAAGGGGCAGAGGGAGAGTCTATGGCATGTGTATACACATATACGGGGAAGAAGACAGGTGTGTGTATAGGTTTGTGGGAGAAAAACACAGATATATCCATGTACAGGACAAGAATAAGTGTGTGAAAGAGATGTGAAAGGTGGCTCTGGGACACGTCTGCCCACCATCAAGAGTCTTGACAGTTTGCCTGTCTCGAGCCTCAGAGTCTTAAAACCATAAAATTGACCCAGAGAGGCTATGTCAACGTCGCAGAGTGAGTTAGGTACAGAGCTGGGAATATTGACTCCCCAATCCATGGCTTTTCCTAATGGTATAGTATCCTCCTTTTTTCTTTTTGTATTATATTTGTGTATGTTTCCATATGGATGTTTGTGTATCATTGTATGCAAACAGTATGTGCCCATAGGCAATAGGGTAAGTGCATTTCAGTGTATGTGTAAATGGCCCGGGTGAAGTGCATATGTATGTCTATTTGTGCAGATGCTGTGGTAAGTGTGTATGTGTGTGTGTGTTTGTGTGTGTATGAGAGAGATATAGAGAGACACAGAGAGGGCGGGGAGAGAGAGGGAGGGGGAGAGAGAGGGAGAGGGAGAGAGAGAGGGGGGGAGAGAGAGAGAGAGAGAGAGAGAGAGAGAGAGAGAGAGAGAGAGAGAAGAGAGGGAGAGAGAAGTGAGACCCTATGTGATGGGGGCATCACTGCTGTCTGAATCTGGGCATCTCTTTGCATGTCTCACTGTCTCCCCCACCTTTCATGGAGTCCTCTTGCCTCTGAGTGCACCTCCCTGAAAGGCCACATCGAGTTGCTCCAGGCTGTGCTGGCAGGGCGGAGGTAATGTCTCTGTGTGTTTGTGTGTGAGTGTGTGGGGCTGCTGAAGTGCCGTCAAGGGATTTCCAGGGAATTGGGTATGTGCAAGCCTTGGAGTGGGTGCGTATAGCCATGCATGCCTCTGTGTGTGCGTGTGTGTGTGTGCTTGTGTAAGTGTTGAACTGCAGCTTTGTCCTCAGGTCACTGGCTGGAGGAGTCTCTCTTCCTTCATTTATTCAGGGGCCCTTCAGATCTTGACAAATCTGTCACTCTAAATTTGCGAGAGATTATGGTGCTCTCTCCCCAGCCCGCAGAGAGGTGATATATGATATCTGCTGCCCCTATTGATTGCCTGATCTGGTGGCAGAGGCCGGCGAAATGAACTTGAAATGAACATCATGCCTCAACTCATTGTGCGTATAATACACTACTTAATCCCACATTTTTCAGCCGCTATGGAATTCAATTGATCAATCATGTTCCACTGATAGTACTGTTTTAGGGGTTATTGCTGCTCCCTTCACGCACTGACCTTTTTATTTATTTATTTATTTTTGTAAACTCAGGCCCTGGTGATGAGACAGTTACAGAGCCAGCAAAGGTGGGGGGGGGGGGGGGAAAAACAGCAGCAGAAACCAACTGCAAAGAGGAGGAGGGGAAATGGGAGGAGGATGAGGAAGGGAAGAGGAAGAGGAGGAACAGAATAAGAGAAGAAAGAAAGAGAGGAGGAGGAAGGATGAATTGAAGGGGAGGGAGGAAGGAGTGAAAGGAGATGGAAGGAGAATTTAATGGAACAGAAAGAACAGGAAAGGAAAAGAAGGAGATAAAAAAGAGTGGGACTAGATCAATATAGGCTGTTTTGGGGGAGGGGTTATTGACCTAGCCAAGCCAGGCCTGTTGTGTGTGCTTCAGGAGGGCTCAACATCGGAGCTTTCCAGATGTGGAAAGCAGCATCCAATGGTGCTGTGGGGGGAAGTGAGGACTAGAGGTGGGCAGAGAGGCAGTTATTGGGCCAGAGAAATGGAAGGAATGAAAAGGCTGCCAGAAAGGTAGATGTGGTATTGTGGTGGAAGAAGCTGGGAGGGAGGAGGGAGATGTGAAGAAAGCAGGCCTGAGATGGGCTTCAATAAAGGAAGGAGTATGAGCTAGAGAGAAAGAGAGAGGAGAAAGGGGCAGGAAGGAAGACAGGGAGAAAGAGAGAAGGGAGGGAGCAAATGTGCATGAGGGTGGGAATGTCCACCCTGGGGAGAGTGGATCCCAAAGGCATTTGGTACCCCATCCTCTGCCAGGTTTCAGATGCTAACATAGTTCTCTATAAATAATAAATAAATAAATAAATAAATATACATTATATATATATATAAATATATATATATATGTATGTATGTATATGGAGAGAGAGAGAGAGAGACAGAGAGAGAGAGAAACAGCATTAGACCCAGTGAAGAGATCCCACCAAACCCTATAACCCTCTTCCTTTTGCTGAGGAGATTGGTAAGCAATGCTGGCCCAGGAGGCCTTGGATTTAGGCTGGTACCCAGAGGACTCCCAAGGTTCCAGCTCAATAGGAGAAGAAGCTACAGCTTAGTTCTCTGTGTTCCCTCTTTCCTGCTTTCCAAATATCCATGAACCGTTCACCCTCTGGCTCTTTTTCTTTTCTGCCCCAGGGGTTGGCATCAAAGTGCCCCTCAGGCTCTTCCCCAGAGAACTTAATCTGCCTTTTTAAGAACAGGGCAACAATTCAAGGACAGAGATACATACCAGAAAGCCTAGAGTGACCTAACTTCTGGCCCACTTGATTTCATGCACAGTCCCATGTAGTCAGGCACCAGAACCCCACTGCAACAAGGCCCTGGTCATCAGAGAGCAGAGGGTCAGCCTGCTTATTTATGGGAAAAGTCATGCCGGTATAGTTCCATTACTAAAGGAACAAGAGGACTTTGGTATTAGATGTTCTCCCCAGTAAGGTAACACAGACCCAGAGGTCATAGAATAACAAGGACCTTAGAGGACTGAATGAGTCTATGTATGTGTGTATGTATGTATGTATGTATGTATGTGTGTGGATCATTGAAAGCCTCCGTTCAATGGCTAAAGAATATATACTTTCTGCATGACTCAACCTTGGGCACCTAGTCTTCCCTTGACCAAAGAATAGGGCTCAGGCCAACCAGCCAAGGTGCCAAATCCAAGGATTCCAAGTCACGGTATTGATAACCAACTTTAAAATGATCCCTTAATGGGCACATGGCTGCCAGAAAGAGGCCAAAACATGGCACAGGGGAGAGTGTCTCAGTTCCATCCCCAAGTGTGGGCCAGCTACTTCTAATCTTAGAAGGTATCATGATGCTGGCAGAGAAAGCATCACGTCAAAGTGAAGTGTCCTGTGGCTGGTGGGAGAATAACAGAAAGACCAGGAAATCAAGTGATTAAGCTATGGGGGCCTGATCCACATAAAAACAACACTGAAAATCCAGGGTAGACAGAATTGCCAGTCTCTGTCTCTATTCAATTCAATAAGCATGTAATAAGCACCTACTGTGGGTATTGTGGTACTGCTTTTATGCATCACATAAAAGGGAGATACAAATTAAGTAAGACATGATCCCTTCCCTCCTGGAGTTTACAGATGTGACAATGCAAAATAAAACTTGATAAATGTATTACAGAAGGACAAAGCATTATTCCCTCCTCCCTTTCCCATACATGTTATGGGGAGAGATCAGGAAGAAGGTGGCATTTACATTGA